ACAGCAGGAACTCATTAGGATTGGCTACATTAGGGGTGTGTGGCCTAACATGCAAAGGAGTTCCTGCTCCAAAAAAAGCCCTGGGGTTTGACAACAAACAAGGTAAACAGAATAAGAAGCAAAAGGTGAGTGTGACTGGATGTCCACACTTCTGGTAACACAGGGGTGTGGTCTAATATGCTAATGAGCTGTGCTGTCATGGGTATGGCCTAATAGGCTAATGAGTTCCTGCTGTTGGGTATGGCCTATTATGCTAATGAGTTCCTGCTGGGCTTTTTCTACAAAAAAAGCCCTGATAATAATGATAGGTTCTCCTCTCATGCCTTTTTAAATTTCTGACCCACTTGCAGGGTAGGCTAGAGTAAGAGAAAATGACTGGGCCAAGGTCACCAAGTGAGTATCATAGCCAAGCAGGGATCTGGCCTGAGATCTAGTTTGATGCAACGCAGGAGAGGGTTTGAGCAGGTGGAGATTGGGCTAAAATACCAACTTTTATGGAGCCCTTGAAAGGCTCGGTTGCTGTAAGACTTCACGTGAACTATCATCTTTTGTGGACATATTTGCAAGGTGATTCGGTAAACAGCTGCCGTGCAGCATCCCGTTGCGCAGAGATCACGAAAGGGTGTTTGACATGGGAAATTGTAAGTGGGTGACCTTCCGACTTCTTTTGTCTTGCTCTCACAGCAGAAAGAGATTTCTCAGGGGGTGCAGATCAGCACTACTTCCCAAAGGAGTGGAAACAGCCGTTCTGCATAAGAATCAGGTCATGGAGTGGAGAAAGGAATGGACTGGGTCCCCCCTTTTTTCTGAAGGGTGCCTTTCTGCTAGCACAGGATGTCAAAGCAAGGTAGGTTGTGAACTTCACTCCTTTCTCTCACTTGAAGCATTGGAAGATTTATTTTTTTAATCTCCATACGAGCCAACCTGTTGTTAGCCAAAGCTTCTTCCTTCTTGCAGGGCCATGTATCATTTGAGGAGGTGGCCGTGTATTTCACAGAGGAGGAGTGGGATTTGCTGGATCCTGGCCAAAGAGCTCTTTACAGGGAAGTCATGATGGAAAATTATCGGAGCATGGCCTCTATGGGTAAGCAAGTAGCTGGGTGTGTGGGTCGGGATAGTTAAAGTGTGTAGAGAATTCTCTGGAAGAGATTCCTGTCTACTCTTCATCTCTCTTTTCTTAAAGTTCAGCTCATTAAGTTCACTGGAGAATTAATGATTGTTAACTTAGCCAGTTACATCAAAGATGTAACCAGTAGGGATGGGCACAAACTGGCTCAGCTGTTAGGTTTAAATGGCTGCCAGCCACGTAACCCTTTGGTTTTGAATGGCTGTCAGTGGTTGGGAGAAAGGGGGAACTGAATTTGTTGGTTTGGTTTGAGTGGGGCCTGTTCTGGGTCTGGTTCAGGGAAACCAAACCACCTTTTTTAGTTTTGTGCCCACCCCTAGTAACCAGTCTGTTTGTGCTCCTTATCTTTTCAAGAAGGCTCTTGGATCTGCAAACCTGCCCTCATTTCCTGGTTGGAAGATATGGATGAGATATTTGTCCAAGACTCTGAGGAAGCAAAGAACTCAAAAGGTACTTCCTTAGACCTTTGTGTCAAGGTTTGCATGGTGCTAGCCCACTGCAAGATGTGGGTGAGTATGAGTATCACAGAAGACGAAAGTCCAACTAGCTTAGTGTAAAACTATATACATTTATTTACACAAGCCTTCACCAATATATTACACACAGTGACAAAATGCTTCTCAGACACCAGGTTTTCCATCAGGAAGTAAAGTATACTGTACATCATTACATTTATACAAGCATTGTCCAATCAGATCGCAATGCTGAGTCATAGTGATGCTGTTAATTAGTGCTGCTCTGAACTGCACAAAACCAGTTGGAGCCAGCTAGACTGTCTCTCTGAGCTGTCAGCTCCTGTCAAGTAGACTGACCTCATCTACAGCCAGACTTACAGAAACACATGTATACTGACAGTTTGGAGCAAGCCTTCTGTGTTGGTCAATTGTTGTACTAATTTGATATCACTCAGAATATGCTCATCATTCTGTTTCTGGGGTTTCCTGGAAGCTGTCTCTGTGGGGTTTCCTGGAAGCCGTCTCTCCCCCTCATGCCTTGATTTAAGGCCTGTTTTCTTCAATGCTGGTTGCCATTAAGGGCCACTGTTTTTAAATCATGCCGACTTTCTTCTTTCTTAGATTCTCTTTCTTGCTGGAATAAGGAGTCTCCATTTATTTCTGCCAAAGAAGACACAACTGTGAGAGAGAAAAATGTGAAGAGATTTTCACAGGAAGGCTTTGCTTCAGAAGACACGGCAGAGTCTTTCCTGGGGCTAGTTCCAGAGATAATTGTCATCCTGACAGATCTGCCTGAGAGTAAGTTTTATTTACGGCCTTGTCAGGAAAATAGACCTGGTGTAACTTGTGAGGATTTCTCTAGTGTGAGAGAGACATTATGCTGAAAAACCCACAGTGTAGTCTGTGGAGAAATGACATTGCCGATACCCAAAGGAAACCCTGTTGGAAAGCAAAGCAAGGCAGTGTGGTGTAGTGATTCCAATGCTGAAATGAGATGGAAGCGACCCAGATTCTGGTCCCATTATGGACATAAAACTGCCTGGGTCATTCCCCTCCATCTCTAACCTACCACTCATGAGAATGATGCACATTGTCCTGAGCTCCTTGGAGAAATGACGGAATGAAAATGTTTTAATAACAAAGTATTATAGATGTTTTTCTGCAATGCCATGTTCTGCAATGCCCTTAAGAAATCTCAGTGTGTTCTTTTTCATTTGAA